GACACCAACGAGTGCTATAGCCTTAAGCAGTTGTTGGACCATCTGGCTGATAAAGGGGTACTGAAGTCCTACATTCTGAAGTCTACCATAAAAACAAACAGTGGACAGCCGTCCAAAAAGCCTGACCAGCTTGCTATAAGCTCAGACACTAATGAAGAGCAGATTTATACTATAGTAGGCGGTTTTGCCTGAGGGGGTCCTACCATCCGGGGCACCAAGGACAATATCAGAAAGTTAGAGTCCAACTCAGTGGATGAGGGCCAGGCGTCGAAAGACACATTCAATTCCCTGAGCTCATCATCTCTGAGAAGGACCGTGGCAAGGTCAGGTAGCCACATGATGACCCCATAGTCATCGAGTGCAAGGTCGCCAATAAACGAGTGGGCCAGATCCTTATTGATACAGGGAGCTCGTCTGACCTTATCAGCTACAGGTGCTTGGCAAAGCTCAAGTACAAGCCTAACAGTGTGCAAAAAGTTTGGTCACCCCTTAGTCGGTTTTGGGGGTGGAGTAGTGCACCTGGTGGGGAGATTTGACCTACCATTCGGCTAGGAGAAAAGGGGGAAGGACGCCACATGGTCGTCAAATTCTTGGTGGTTGAAGAATTGACCGCCTACAATCTGATTTTGGGCCGTCCAACCCTCAACGAGTCTAAGGAAGTCATCATCCCATCCCTCATGCTGATGAAATTTGAGAGGGATGATGGGTTAGTGGGTTCCCTGAATGGGGATAAGAAGACGGCAAGGGAGTGTTATCTCTCAGACGTCAAGCCTACTGTGGCCACAGCCGGCCAAGGCGAAGAGCCCATTGACCTTGATGACTTTAAGGAAGCCGCGCCTGCTCCTAAAACAACCGGCAAAAAGAGGAAGGCGGACCAGTTGGTGGCCGTCAAGAAATAAAAGCAATAGCAATCACTGATCGGGGAACGGTCAGATGATCCTTGTCCCCAGCCGGCTGGTGAGCATATTGACATCCTTCTTGACGATGCACGTCCTGAGCGAACTGTTGAGGTGGGGACGACTGATTTTGCAAAGTTAGGTGCCGACTTGCACCAACTGTTGAAAGAATTCAAAGACATTTTTGCCTTTGAAGTGGAAGAGATGCCAGGCGTCAGCCCGGATCTCGTTGTCCACAACTTCGCCTTGGATCCATAAAAGAAGCCGGTTAGGCAAAAGAAAATAAATCACGGCGAGGAGAGATCTCAGGCGGCTTCCGGCAAGGTCAAGAAGCTGATGGATGCCGGGTTCATTTGACAATGTTACTATCCGGATTGGGTAGCAAACATTGTTCTAGTGAAAAAGCCGAATGGTACCTAGCGCATGTGTGTTGATTACAAAGATCTGAACAAGGCATGTCCGAAGGATAGCTATCCACTTCCAAAGATCGACAGTCTGGTCGACTCTACAGCAGGTCATGCCTTGATGAGTTTCATGGACGCCTACTCAGGCTTTCATCAGATACCCTTGTGGAAAAAGATCAAGAGAAGACGACATTCGTCACTGATTAAGGGTTATTCTGTTCACGGTGATGCCGTTTGGGCTGAAGAATGTGCCTGCTACTTTCCAACGAATGATTAATACAGTCTTCATTAATCAAATTGGGAGGAATGTAGAGGCGTACATTGATGACATGATAGTCAAATCTAAGCTACAACCGGATCATCTTGCTGACCTTCGAGAAACATTCACCACCCTCAGGCGGCATAAGGTCATGCTTAATCCCAAGAAGTGTGTCTTTGGTGTTGAGTCTGGGAAGTTTCTCAGTTTTTTGATTGATCAAAGGGGGATAGAGGCCAATCCAAAAAAGGTGCAGGCGGTAATTGACATGAAGTCACCCCGCACTGTCAAAGAGGTTCAAAAATTAACCGGTTGCCTAGCGGCATTGGGGAGATTCCTCAGCCGGTCAGGTGACAAGTGCCTCTATTTCTTCCAAGCAATCAAGAAGAAGACTAGATTCGAATGGGGGGAAAACGTTGAGGCGACATTTCAAAAATTGAAAGAGCACTTGCACGCGTTGCCAAGGCTGGTTAGCCCTCTAGTCGAGGAGGTTCTTTACATGTACTTGGCCGTCTCAGATCATGCCCTCAGTGCTGTTCTCCTAGCTGAGAGAGGCGACATTCAGCTCCCGGTCTGTTTTATTAGCCATGTTCTTCGAAATGATGAACTGCGGTACCCCTTGGTTGAAAAATTTGGCCTTGCCCTTTTCATGGCAATCAAGAAGTTGAAACCTTACTTCTTGGCTCATGCGGTGGTGGTCTACACAGATCAACCCCTCAAGCGGCCAATGACAACTTTGGAGTCATCTGGTAGGATGCTCAAATGGGCTATTGAAATGCAAAGCCTTGAAATCACTTTCGAACCTAGAAAGGCAGTGAAGGGTCAGGCGTTTGCCGACTTCATTGTCGAAATGACAAGGCCGGATCAGCCAAAAAATCTTGATCAGGTTTGGAAAGTGTATGTAGACGGGAGCTCTACTATGAACGGCTATGGTGTAGGAATAATATGCCAGTCTCCGGAAGGGGACATATATGAATATGCACTACGAAAAGCCTCGAATAATGAGGTAGAATATAAGGCCCTACTACCCGGTATCCGCATGTGTAAGGCGGCAGGAGCAAGAAAGGTTGACACCTGCTCTGATTCTCGGTTGATCGTTAGCCAATATCATGGTGATTGTGAGGCCACCCGTCCGACTATGATCAAATATCTTCAGGTAGTTAAAGATGAGGCCAGGACACTTGACGAATTTCATCTAAGTCAAGTGCCCAGGTCAGAAAACAATCAGGCGGATGCGCGCTCTAAACTAGCATCATCCGCCTCCTGTGATACGCCTAGGTTAGTGTTTTGGGAAGTCATGGAAAAGAGAATCATTGAACATGATCCCATTGGAGTTCTTGATCGAAGCTCGACCTCGATGGAGGGCATCCGGGCTTATCTTGCAAATGGCACTCTGCCGGATGCTCACTCAGAAGCGGCTGCAATGAAAAAATGTGCCGCAAGCTTTGAAATTCATAAGGGAAAGCTCTTCAGGAAGGGTTACCTCCAGCTGCTGCTAAAATGTGTTACCCCAGAAAGGGGGAAATAGGTTCTAAAGGATCTGCACTCGGGCTTTTATGCATCACATATAGCGGCAAAACACTAGCGAAAAGGGCTAGGCGGCATGGCTACTTCTGGCCCACTCTTGAGGCAGATGCCATGGAAATGGTGAAGAAGTGTGATAAATGTCAAAAATTCGGCAAATTCATCCACCATCTGGCTACTGATTTAACGGCTATCTACAGCCCAGTGCCGTTCGCCAAATGGGGCATGGACATTCTAGGTCCATATACGCCTGCGAAAGGCGGACGGAGGTACATTCTAGTTGCCGTTGATTACTCCACCAAATGGGTAGAGGCAGAGGTGGTCAAGGGTATAAAGACAAAGGATGTCATCTCCTTCATTTGGAGGAACATTATCACCCGATTTGGGGTACCTATGTCTATGGTATTTGGCAATGGCCCTTAGTTTGAGACGCCTACCCTCAAGAGCTGGTTGGGAGATCAAGGGATCTCACATTGTTTTGCATCAGTCGGCCATCCCCAAGCAAACGGCCAAGTTGAAGCCTTCAACAAGTTCATCTCAAACGACATTAAAAAGAAAATTGAAAGGGCTGGCGGTCTATGGGCAGATGAGTTGCCTCATGTCCTATGGGCCATCAGAACAACTGAAAAAGGGGAAACCAGTGAAACCCCCTTTCTCATGACATATGGCACTGAAGCCGTCCTGCCTATTGGACATTATGATCCAACACTTCGAATCATGCTCTATGATGAAGAGGCTAATTAGGAGGCCATGCGGCTAGCATTGGATTCACTCCCAGAGCGTAGGGGAAATGCCGCCTTGCGTCATGAGATTTACCGTATGAGAATGACGAGAGCCTACAACAGAAGAGTGCACAAACGACCCTTAAAAGTGGGGGACTTTGTGTTACAAAAAATGGAGGCAACCGGTAGGGCCAATGAGCAAGGAAAGATGACCCCTAATTGGGAAGGCCCCTACCGGATTTTTTGAAGAATTTAGAGGTGGCACCTACCGCTTGGAAACTCTAGATGGCAGGCAGCTGGCCAGAACTTGGAATGTAGACAACTTGAAAATGTACTATTTCTAAAGACTTTTAAATCTTTGTAAATAAATTATATTAATGAAAAGATGCTTTATTTTTATGGTTTCTTGTACAAAGTCCCGTCTTTGCAATGCAGAACCGGGCATATGTCTGCTCTAACTTGAGTAGATATAAGCTAAGTCCAAAACTTAGCAGCTATTTTGAGGCTAATGGCCGGATGACATTCAAACTACCGCCTGCTCCAACATGAGTAGGCAACCGGCGATGCCCATTCGGGTGAATTCGTCGAAGAGAGCATCTCCTATTTGGGTGGTACATTGTTTTATAAATCATAACTCAAGCGACTTTAACTGACTGTCTAGGTTAAAGATAACCCACGGCCGTTTGAATAATCAATTGAGACCTAGATACAACCGGTCGATGCTTCAAAGCAACACAAACGGTAACTGATGTCTTAGTCAGATATAATCGGTCTTTGCCCAAAGGCACTACAGCCGGTTACAAACCAAAATTAAGCAAGGCCAAAGCCTTAGTAGCTAAAACATAACATAGTTATGACACCTACACCTAGCTAATGGCCGCTTGCTATTATGCAACTGGAAAAGACTGATTACCCTAAGGGCTAAATCACAGGCGGTTAATAGAGTAATCTAGGTCCCTAGCTGAAACCGTCTGCTATTCCGACTTAGAAAATAATTTGAGAAATTTCTCTAAAGGCGGCCAATGACCGTCTGTCTATTCGTTCGGATGCTTAATTGGACGACTGCCTGCTTAGGGTGGGGCAATACCAAGCAAACAACCGTCTAGGGGCAGAATAAGCTAATGCATCCGTTAAACCGCATGAGCTAAGTTACATGCCAGAAAATTGCAAAAATTGAGCAAAATATATAAAAGGCAAATGTAGGCAAAAGCGACTCAGTCAACAAATTCTATTAAAAAGTAATTGTCAGCTGGAACTACGTCCGGGGAGGAAAGAGAATACACATAAAATACTCGGCACGCAGGCCGGAAATAAAAATAAAGTTCACTGCTTCTAGGGATGTGAAGATGTCTGGCCCTGGCCGGATGGAGGGGCATCCTAAGTCTGCTGAGGTTGGGCTTGATTAGCATCAACAGGCGCTTGTTCTTCCGCCTGCTCCTCCTCCTGATCTTCCTCTAAGCCCGTAATGCTAGCCCATTCCTCGAAGGGAGCCGGCTTCTTAAGGCCAAGAGCTTGAGCATCGTATACCTCAGTGGCATACTTGTACCTCAGCTCAAAGAACTCCCATTCGCATTCCTGGTGGACGAGGGACCAGACCATCTTCATACGAGCCTCGCAGTCTTGCTCGTTTTCAGCGACCAGATGGTCCTGCTCGGCCGCTAGCTTAGCCTTGTGGCCGGCCTGCGTCTAGGCTAACTTGTTCTTCAACCGCGAGACGTCTGCCCTCAGCTGGGTGTTCTCTTTATCAGCATCCCCCAGTGCTTTGACATCGGACTGGAGGTTTTTCACTTGTAGCTCAAAATCGGCTGCCTTCTTGTTGGTCGTCTCCATAGTCGCAGTGAGCTCCTTGATAAGCTCCTCCTGTTTCATCTCTTGGCTTTTAGATTTAATTCCATACATTAGTGTGTTGTATTGAGTAACATCTATGAGATCAGCCTCTCGCCTATTGGCATCCTTTACCTCCTCCTGCTTCTTTCTCAAGGGAACCTTGAGGCCGTCTACCCTCAGCATCACCTGTAAAATCAGCCGAAAAAGAGTTAGTCTCTCAAATATTGTACAACTGGCAAGAAGGTAAAAACGCATTCTATATGCTAGCCGGTGGAGAGCCAATTTGGCTTCAATATCCCTACCGGAAAATTACCTCAGCAAGTAGGGCATTGAGGCGGTCAATGTTGACTTGATGCACAACCACAACCACCTCCTTCTCGGAATGTGTGATGGTCCTCAACATCCTCTTTGCGTATTGTTGGAGGTCAGGCCAACGGGAAGAGGCATCTGCACCAATAGAGTTATCTGTTAAGTAACGAGCATAGGCGGTACCTATATTCTGTTGGCTGTCGGAGAAATCCCCTGATTGGGTAGCTTAGGACTTGACTCGTATAGGCCCAAGCGGCTAGGGGGGATCAAAGGTGAAAGCCATACCTTCATTTTCAGGCTGAGGGTTCACCCTACCCCCAGCCGCATTGGAGCCGATTGCTGCAGCTAGACGCCGGCTCGAGGGCGTCTCAGGCTCCCTCGTCTCAAGGTCAACCGGCTCGGTGTTTAGACCGAGGTCCTTTAGGCTCTTGCCTGCTGATGTTAGCCTGTCAGATACAGGCGGCCTTCCAGAAGTGTGGGGGGGGGGGGGGGTGGGGAGCCGGAACCTTCCTTACCTTGGAAGGAGCTTGGGAGGGTTCCTGATACGACTGTCGCGTGTGTATTAAAAATAAACCTAACTCTGACCTCCTAAAAATGTGGTAGGGTAAGCTAGGGTCGATCCCACAGAGAATTAGATTATCAAATTATTACTTGTGTGTGTTAGAAACCCCTGTTTTGAACAATGACTATTACGATCTAATATATAAAACTACGGACTTGAAAATAAGCTAAGTACGGAGATGTAAAATTAACAGTAATAATAAATAATAAAATCAAGAATGACGAAATAAGGATCGGGAGATATATTATAGCATTGGAATATCAATTGATCATCGAATTATATAAATCATGTTTTTATCTCAATGTCAGCCGATGAGCGCAAACAAGCATTCGACACTTCCCCTAATTGCAAATAACCCAAATAAGCTCTTTGATTATTGTCTAACTAACTAACAATCTAGAATAAGCTCTCTAGACTAGATAAATTAGCAACATTAATAACTAGGAAGTAGCTAACTTAAGTCACAAATCTCACGAGCTCGGATTTATGCAACTTAAAGGGCTAATAATCATAGGCATCGGACAAGCTTCAGTCACCCATCAAACACCTAAGTGTTACTAAGGAATGTTAATCCGGACAATTACGTATCACAAATCAATATTCTAGCAATTAAACTAGCAAACTATACTAAAGGTGGCCGGTCTAAAATATAACTCAACTAATTCATACCAATACAACAGATTATCACTCCATTCAAGATATAAACATTATAAGTTCAAATCATAACATTCATACTCTCACAACATAATAATCCAACACTTAATATATCTCTCTATCCACTAATAATCTAGCCTAACATATCAAGAATTAGAATCATAACAATGACAATTATATAACTCATATAACTAAAGAAAATAAAAAAAATTGAGATTGAACAACTTTGTAAACCATCCAAAAATAATCAAATTGCAATTATTCTAAACCGCCTAATCTAACAAAGAAATGAAATAATAAAAACAAAAGTAACTTAGCAAATTCTACTACTTTATTAAAAGAAATTGTTAACTGAAGTTCTACATGCAAAACTATAAGCTACTAACTAAAATTAAGAATACCAATTGCTATAGTTGAATGTTGGGGAAGCAACCACGAACAATACTCCAAGTCTCCAAGCAAGCAGATTCATCAATTCCTTCTTCCCTCCTTCCTCTGCTAGCTTCAGTTTTTTCTTCGGTACAACTCTCTCCCTTTGATTCAAATATATTCCTTCAATTTACACTCAACCTAGCCTCCAAATCATCTCCCCAAAATGAAACCCCCAAAAATACGGAACTGAATTCCTTTTCTGTTTTGGTGTAGCCGATCTGCTCCCCTCCCAATTCGGCTGCCCAAAGTTATCACTTGGAATCTTTGATCCCTAACTACCCGAGTTTTTTCTCTCATCCTTATCTGATTTCATCTATATCTTTTCTTGCTTGACAAATTGATAACCATCAATCTCGCTCAAGGGATTTACTGTTTGGCTTACCCGCAAGAACAATGAGAACAATGAAGAGTTTGAGCTGCTCTCTTCTTTCTAAGATGTTATGTGACATATTGTCATACTTCAAGGTCCAACTGTAATAGCTTAAACAATAAAACAACATTGGGCTTGAAATAGTTGAGAGTCAACCCGGGCTTGTAAACTTTGCTTCTCTTAACCGGAGTGTCATAATATGCAATTTGATATTAATATTTTCTTTCCTACAAACAATAAAAATAAATAGTAGTAACTCGTGTCTAGATAAGAAAATTACGTAATATATCTTTAAACCATCAAATATCAATATAGAATCAAGAGTTTAGTAGATATAAATATTATATTATATGACTCTATCAAACTCCCCCAAGCTTATAATTTTGTTTGTCCTCAAGCAAAGACATGAAATTACAGAGGAGTTAGACTCTTGATATAACAATATGCAACCTGACATGTTACAATTACTCCCTTGCTCAATTACAACTTCAAGCCAAGTATATTGACACATCAAAAACAGTTGAGCATTCTGTAATAATCACTCCACTTTGCTCAATAACAGCGTTAAGTCAAGCATATATGTAGGAGGAAAATCATTTTTATGATTACAAAATCAATTACCAACTCTTAAAACAATTACAGCCTACCTTCCGTCAACAATGTAGTGGAGTAACTCAAAGATCCTTAGGACTTGAATAAGAATGCAGTGGTGTCAAGGTAAAGTGAGGTTTTAGAGAGTGTTTTGGAGTGTGGTAATAAAGAATAAGATTAGCAGAGTAAATCAACATAACAAACGCAACATAAGAGCTCATATCACAGCCCTTGACTTCACGATATAATTATTATTATTATTATTATTATTATTATTATTATTATTTTGTTTTTTTTGGTTTTTTTTTGAATGTGTTTTTTGAATGTGTTTCATGACTCTTAATGTCAAGTACCTGTTAAGTAACCCATGTAGCGAGCTTTCAACCAGTGACTCCCGGTCCAGTTAGCCCAAGGCACTAGGTTTTTAAGATACCCCTACGGATTTACTAACTCGAGTTATTCAATCACGATACATAAAACATCACACGTACTTATATGGGTTCTTTTCTTTATTTTTTTTTCTTTTTTTTATAACCCATACATTGGTACGTAGAGCCTTTAACATTAAACTTTTAAAAATATAAACTTCACCACCTTGCATCATTACCACAACCATAATCCAATTTATCCTTTGATATGCTCTACTAATCTTATAGGTAAATATTTCATGTTTCAGACATTTCGCAAGAAAAGTAGGTCTATAAAGCTCAAATTGGGTTTAATAATGAATCATGTCATGGGTAAGCTTTTTGGCTTATGTGGTGTAAAAATTTGATGCCTAACTCATTTCTTTCTTTTTACCCCATCACAAGCTGACTTCCACCAGGCTAGCTATTGTTTACGGAATCAATTTTATTTGATTTTTTTTATTTTTTATTTCTGCATACATACAGGTATGTCAGCTAAAGTTAAGCATTTTAGAGTGAATGTACTGTTCATATGCAAAGCACTGTCCAAATTTCATTGTCAGACTCAATACAATATCATACCATACCCAGAGACATACCAAGAGACCGCAAGAGACCGAATATAATGCATCCCCCCAACCTTAATTCACACATTGCCCTCAATGTGTGACTGTAAAAAAAAATAAAGGGAAAAACAAAAATAGAAAGAAACAAGGAAACGAGCTCATCGGATGATGAGTTTCCAGAATAGTATAAAGGGCTTAGTTTCCAGAATAGTATAAAGGGCTTAAAAATTGTAGGGTTTCGTAGTGACCCGACACTACGCGGAAGGAAACCCCCCAAGACCCGCCCCTTAATTAAAGCAATTAACAAGGATAATAAACATAATTAAGCAAGACTAAGAACAAGAATTATACCTTTGTTGCGTGCTTCGCTCCCGAAGAGCTATTACTTCAAAATCCCGAAACTACGAGATCTCCGACGGATCGTACCCTCGACCCGACCCGAGCGTCCCAAGTCTTGAAGGTTAGTCAAGACCCGGACAAACAAAACTATCAGTTTTACGAATCAAAGGTTTACTCTAATTACCAGAGTTGCTTTTTTAATTCCACTCAAGGTTATCCATTTCCCAACACCCTTGAAGGGTATTTATAGGGAAGTGGGTCCTTGGTTTTCAATCTCCCACCAATGTGGGAGAGCTGAAAAATCAATGATTTATTTAATTTCCAAATTAAATAAATAATCAACTAAATCATATTGCGACAAGTGGCATGATCATGTGCAAAGGAGTAGTGCCTAAGGTTAGGTGGGGACCATATGCCTTGCTCCCCAAGGCCCTTGATTGGTCCCCACAAGCTTCCTCACAACCGCCATATGGCTGCTGGGCTGGCAGCCAGCTAGCGTGCCAGCTAGCGCTGCCAGCTAGCATTGCCCAGCAGCATCCCAGCCAGCCAGTGCTTATTGGGCAATGCTGGCGCTGGTGTTGTGTGCTGGCACCTAGTGCTGCTAGCACATTGTGCTGGTGTTGGCCTCAGCAGCCCACGCATTGGCTGGCGCACATGCCTCGCATAGCATGCACCAGCCTCGCACCACGCACCAGCCTCGCACCTCGCACCACGCACCAGCCTTGCACCACGCACTACGCATCGCACCAGGCACCACGCACCATTGCTAGCCCAGCCAGCGAGTCTACGCACGTAAGGGCCTAACATGCGTGCTAGGCGATGCTGCCAGGCACCCTCGCACTAGCACACACACGCTAGTGCCTAGCACTGCTATGCTTGGTGCGAGGCACGCACACACACACATGCACATACGCCAGTGCCTAGCACTGCGATGGCTGTGCTTGGTGCGTATGTGGCCCTGCCATGCGCACCCAGGCATCCAGGCAAGCATGCTGCTGTGCTGCGATGGGCTGCCTGGTGATCCTGGTGCGCCTAGTGCTTGCGATGGATTGCCAGGTGCTCCTGGTGCGCCTAGTGCTTGCGATAGGCTGCCAGGTGCTCCTAGTGCGCTTAGTGCTTGCGATGGGCTACCAGGTGCTCCTGGTGCGCCTAGTGCTTGTGATGGTCAGCGATGGTGCCTAGGCATGATGCTAGGGCTGCGATAGCGCCTAGGCATGATGCTAGGGCTGCGATGGTGCCCAGCCATCCTAGGGCACGCATGGTGTGCCTAGGCATGCTGCTGGGCCCAGTCTAGCCTAGCAACCCACATGGCTAGGCCAGTGTGGTGCTAGGGATATGTTCATACGTGTCGCTTTGTGATTTTGCGACGTTCGGTCTCGACGTCCTAGGCTCGATATCCGACGTCTGTATTCGTAAAACTTTGTCGACTCATTAAGTCCTTTCGGATTAATTTGTCATCTCGGATCGGTGATTCGATTGGGTTTGACCCGAAGGGTTCAGTTAAGATTAAGCTGTGATATCAATTGTACCTTGATATTACTGATCGGAAGCGGCCTCCATCT